CGTGACGGCTAGGGTTGGGAGACACCCCACACTTATATAGGCGCAGCCGCGTGGAGAGACGTGGGCTCGACCCACGTCCGAGTCCGTGACAGCCGACGATCCGACATATCAGATCGTGGCCCAGCTGTCAGAAACCCTCCGTTAGTGACTGACAAAAATAAGCGCGTAGGTGTGAGCTCAGCTCTGCTCAATCCCGCAACCCGTCGTGACGAGGCGTGGCGAGGCGGGCGGCGGAGGAGGAGCGCGCGAGGGCCTCTTCTCTTCTTAAGCTTCAATAGCATATGGAAGACAATCCCTTATAAAGAGTTCCAACTCCTTCTCCATTAGCGGGGTGGAACTAAACTTCCCATTACACCTAGTGTCAATAAAACCCACATGGGCCTTTAGAGATTTTCAGAAATTGCTATATGGGCCTAAAGCCCATCTCAAATTTCAGCACATAACACACATCGGTGGGTAGTGGTCGCAGCGCCGCGTCCGACATGACGAGCACGGAGTCATGGGCCAGCGAGCCCATTGACAGCAAGATGAACTAGTTGGTAGCGTCGTCGCCACAGAGAAAAGTCTGTGTGAAGTAACGAATAAGAGGGCATTAAGGCAAGAGGATGACGGAGAAAAAATGCAGTGTGCGTGCCATGACAGTGTTACTGTAGTAGGACGCGGAGGAGGAGGCCGAAAAGAACAACAATGACGATGCGCCAGTGTAGTAGGACGTGAACGAGGAAGCCGAGAGGAACGACGTCAGACGATAGCTTCAGTGTAACAGGGCATGAGAGAGTAGACCGAGAGAAACAACGACCATGCGAGTGTAGTAAGACATGGGATAGAAGGTTAAGAAAAACGATGCTGGCGATGGCGCTAGTGCAACAACACACGAGAGAGAATGACGATGGCGACAGCGCCAGTGTAGTAGGACGCTAGCGAACGAGGAAGCCGAGAGGTGGCCGGCGGTTGATGGGTCAGATCATGGCTCGAGGAAAAAGACGGTTGAGAGGAAGACAGATAAAACTGTGGGCGGTTGTCTGCAGATCAGACGGTCATGAAACAAAATGACTGTTGAACAGGTTTTTCAAGCATCTGATGATTAGACGCTCCAAACGGAATTTGGTGCAAGAGAGACGCAGGCGCAGCAAACCGGCAATTCAACGCAGTCGCGTCGCGTCGCCAAGAAGCACGATGCATGACCTAAGGCACGTATTCGTTTCCGTGTCCTCAGGAACCAGGGCACACGTTCTCTTGTGTTCATCTCGGCAATTCAGGCAATCTTGCTCTACATGGATCATCACGTTCCGAAATAGATGACCCAAATTTATACTAACTTTATACTAAAGTTAGTATAAAGTTAAGTCATCTATTTTAGAACGGAAAGAGTACATACGAAACAAGTTGTACTAGTTACTCCGAGTACAATTTACGCACACACACAAGTTCTCGCCTTATTGCTAGCTGCTACCAACACGCTGCCTCGGCTCCACAACTCACAACTCCATCAACAGTGCTTAGGTTCTCAGTAACACTTCACACAACTCACGGCAGTAGCCAGTAGGAACTCAACTCCATCAACACTTCTCGCTTGGGTCTCAGCTGAGGCTCATGTCAGAGCTCAGGAAGGCCGTCATCACATCAGGAAGAACGGCGAAGGGAGCAGGGGCCGGACGCTCCTGCGCACGTCCAAGCCCCGGAGGCGCTCCAGGTTCATCACCTCGGAGTGGTCGGCGAAGAGGTTCACCTGCGTCAGTGAATCGATGTCAGTGATCAGACCGCGAAAGACACAGCATGCAAACATTCTGCAGTTGCAGTTTCAGGGAGGGATTGAGTGAGGGAAGCGTCGTACCCGCGGGCCGTATCGTTTGACGAACCACTCGGAGGTGTTGGCACCGGACGTCTCGAACATGGTTCTCTCCAGCCCGAGCCGGCCGACGATCTTCGCGATGAGGTCCGCCCTGAGAGAGTCCGCGTGCTGGCACACGTCGTCGGCGTCGATCATGATCATATCTGCACCTGCCTCCAGGCATCTCTCGGCCCTCCTGATCAGCAGGTCAATGTCTTCGACTCTTTCTGCAAACGAACACCACAAAATGCAGGCACATAAATAAGGGAGTGCAATGTAGCCATCTTATGAAAGGAAAGAAGTTATGTTCGCAGCCTCACAGAGGAACATGACACCGACAGTATTTTTTTCAAGAACAGAGGATAAGACACCGACGATTGAGAATGACCAAGTTATGACTTGTACAACTGGAGAAATAGCACTGCATATACTATATGAGTACAGTGGAACGGTAGTGCTTCTGCTTACCTGAGCTCTGCTTCACTGGAGCTATGTAAGCCCCAAACGCCCTATCACCAGCCGCAGGGATATCAGAGCTGTCGAACTTCACTGAAAACAGGGGCTTGGCTCGCAGACCAGTGTTCTTTATGAGGCGGACTAGTCTCAGGATAGCCTCTTCAGGGAGCTTGAGAGATCCAGCGTTGAGCTCAATGGTGTCGAATCCCAACTCTTTGCATTCCTGCAACAATACATTTTATGTCACGTACAGGCTTCAGACACAATTTGTGCGCATATAACATACAACCAGGACAGTAAGATATCTATTCTACATACCTCTACATATTGCTTGAAGGAAGAGGGTCCCTGGCGCAGAAGATGCTCTGCCCAGTCACCAGTGCTCACATACATGTCATGCTTGTGCGCCAAATCAGTGATCTCTCTGATCAGTTCCTTTCCCATCAAACTATGAGATCCGCCGGAAAACTTCAGACCGTCAACAAAAGGGCCGATATTATCCAAAATTTCCTGAAATAAAATACGGCTGGCTTGAGAATCTGCTATCAGAAATGTCTAGATAGTGAAAAATAAGCAGCATTATGATTAACCGGCACAAAGATTTATTAAAGTGGGAACCCGGTAAGGAGCTATGTGTCTTTGTTCTGATAATTATCTCTGTATCTTCAGAGTTTCCTCTAAATTCAGAATGGTTCATCTTTCATTCTAAGAATGTGCGCGGCATTTCTTCCTTCAAAAGGGTGGTACAACAGGGATTCTGAAGAAATTTAACCTGCACAAAGAGGTGTTGATGGAGACATGAGGGAAAAGGTTGAGCACAAAATGCTACAGCCACATTTCCTCATTTCACCATCACATATCCACATCCCCTCTGCAGACTGCAGGCGGAATTTGTCGTATCCATCTTCATAGTGGCTCTCCCTTACATGCCAATCACACCCGCAGCTAATAGACCTAAGACGCTGGCAAATCTGAGTTGTAGCATATATGCTCTTACCAAAGTACCACTCAGCAACAACGGTCGTCCAGCCAAGTTGAACAGACTGAAACCACTAAAAATGATGTGTAAATCGAACCCGTGACCGTCGTACACTCCAACTTCTCCGCATGCCTCAGCTAATTCTGCACACCAACTTCTTCACAAACGGGGCTTCGATCTGAATTTGGTAGCGGCAAACTGCCGATTGCGAACGGGACGCGTGCACACGACACAGAGCTCGGCGGAATCGAGCTACGCGGGACTCAAATTCGCGCATCGCGAGTCGCGACCCCCAACAGCGATTGAGAAATGCATGCAGCGCTAGTAGGAAATGGGCGGGCGGGCGGACCTGGAGCGCGTGGTGGGCGGGGCGGAAGGTGTAGCAGGGGCTCCTCATCTCCGTGACCCCGTAGCGGCGCGGCTTCTCCGGCCGGTCGTCGCCGGGGCCGTGCGCCTCCAGCGACAGCGCCACCACCTCCTCTCTCCACCCCCTCATCGTCTCTCTCTCTCTCTCTCTCTTCTGCTGATGATGATCGGTGGACCGATAAAGAGCGGCAGGACCGACGGGAGAAGACAGGAGAAGGAGGTGGAAGCTTGCCGCTGCTTCTAGAGACACGGATGGGCCTGGCCGGTGGGCCACCATTACATATGTGTTGTTGGGCCAGCCCGACTTATCGCTCATGTTCGAATGGGTCATTTATGATGTGCTCGGAAACAGCCCGGCTCGAACCTCAGAAGAAAGGTTCTGGGAAATAGCCCAGCAGCCTAGCCAAGCTAGAAACTGCTCCAAAAAAAAAAGCTCTAAGTGTTTCTCAAAAAAAAAAAACTCGAAATCTATATCTATACGTACTATTAGAGGGAGGTGATATTCTTGATTTCGTCCCGCTTCGTTTGGTCATGCTTCAATTAATTTCACATACGCTATTTGGTTTTGTTATACTTGCCACCCGTTTTGGCCCAACGAAGAAAGCCCATCTGGCGGCGCATTAAGGCCCAGGTCCGGAGAGCTGGCAAAAAAAAAATTGCCGGCGGGAGGGTTTGGTCTCATATCCTGTGAACCGGCCATGCACAGTTTGTCCAACTAATGCAGCTAGAGATATGAGAGGATTTATTTTTTTCTCCCATTGCAATGCATGGGCCTTTTTGCTAGTAATTTTTTTTTACAAGAAACAAGCTCAAAGTGCATTCCCAGCTTCGTTTTCTGAATTCTCTCAGAAAATAAAAGGCTTCATTTTCTGGTCTTTTTCCCTTGTCTGTTTTAAAGGTTTTGCGTCATTACTCACTCTGTGCGTTCGGTTTATTCGGTTTACATGGTTCGGTTTATACGATTTTTCGGTTTGTACGGTATTAATACTTTGGTAAATACGGTATGAAATTAAAATACGGTTCGGTTTCGGTATATACCAAATTATTTCGGTATGGTTTCGGTATATAGCATAATAACCAAAGTTGACGCAAATTTGAAAAGGACGTAATAATAATTTGCAAATTTATGACTCAAAGTACATACTCTTTTACATAGATAGTATATAACTATATATATAAGTATATGTGCATGCATTGATTCATCTATTGATGATTATGGACGTGCTTAGCATTTTAAAAGGAGAAAAATGACTATGTTGCAAGAAAAATTATGTGCTTAGTAGGGAATTTTACACATGTACAAGAAAATGACAACTTGTATGGCTGTTCATCTCAAGAAATATAAATTTATTTTTTTCTTTGGTTTGTTCGGTTAACCGTTCGGTTTTTCGATATATACCATAAAAACCAAAGTTCAAATCGGTATGAAAAGTTCATACCATATCGAAACCAGAAACCATAAAAACCATAAAATTGGTTAGGTTCGGTTTATTTTCGGTATGGTTTTTCAGTTCAGTTTTCATATGCACAGAGTGAGTCATTACGGGGTAGGCAAGGTTGCACGCAATATACCGTTGACACCAGAGATCCTGTGGTGTTTCGGTCCCGAGCATTGTCGGTTTCCAACCCTGCGGAATGTGTCCTGCGCTTCTGCCAAACTTAGGGTGCACGCAATGTTTGGCGAAACAAAAGCTGCACCGTAGGCTCGGAAATAGCCCAGCCTTTCGGCCGAAAAAAACAAGCTCAAAATGTTTCTAAAAAAACTCGAAGTAAATTTTTTTACAGGAAAAATGCCACAAGAAACAAGCTTCAAGTGCATTTCCAGCTTTCTTTTCTGAATTTTCTCAAAAAAATAAAAGGCTTCATTTTCTGAATTTTTTTCTCCTTATCTGTTTTAAAGATTTTGTGTCCTTGCGGGGCAGGCAAGGTTGCGCGGAATAGAAATCACAAGGCTCGCCATAGTTTTAACCTTGACAACAGAGAGCCTTTAAACAAAAAAAAAACCTTGACACCACAGAGCCTGTGGTGTTTCGGTCCCAAGCATTGTCGGATTATGTCCTGCGCTAACTTAGGATGCACGCAATGTTGGGCGAAACAAAAGCCACACGGCCTATATATACTTGTGCTCTGAAAACACCATAGCTCCACAATAGGCCACAAGGCTTCCTGCAAATTCTAAGCCTGTTGGAAAAATACACATGTCCAGCAACAAAATCCAAGTCAAACGCCATTGAGAAAAGAAATAGGCTACCACACGCTCAGTGTTAGCGGCCCAGCAAAAGCCTAGTGTAGCAACAATAAAACTATATATAAAAAACTAAATCTCTGTCAGCAATGCAGAAAAACAAGTTCTTTCTTCTTTCCTTTTCTTTTCTTTTGGCAAACATCAATGCAGAAAAACAAGTTGATGAGTGTTCAGGTACTCGAGCAAAATTCAATGTTGGTTCTTGCAACAGGAAAGGGTAAAATTGCTTTGTAAATTTGTACAAGGTGGCAATTGAATTCACTTCAGTAAACTAAAACTTTTGAATACGACGAGATCATCACATGTTCCAGCTGGAGAGAGATGATGACTATTGCAGCATTCAGTCCCGGGCTCCCCACCGGGGCTGCTGAGGATCACTAGAACTCTCCTAACTAGAAAAGCATAAGGGGCCTATCCTACAGGTTGCCCTTCCTAAGCATCTAAGAATGCTCACACACACACACACACACACACACACACACACACACACATCAGCAATCAAACATCTTGTGCTTCTGTATATAGTAATAACTAAAAAGACAAATTCTTCATGCAAAAGCCTTTATAAGCATAGGGGCCCAGCCTACAGGTGCTAAATGAAGCCTTTGTAAGCATCAAGCAAATGATATATGCACACACATTAAAAAAAACAGATCAGCAATTAAACATCTCCTGCTTTTTCCATGTACTAACTGAAAAGGCAATTAAGTTTTCAACACAAGGATGTGTTCCTAGTACAGCTTAGGCAGAGCCAAACCACGAACGATTCCACAGGATAAGACCGTAGGACTTTTGGCAGATGGGGTTACCACTTACCAGCTGTCACCAGTTACAACTTTCAGCAGTGATGTTTTTGCATCCCTCCCCATCAGAAATTTTCCACACTGTTTTTGCATCCAAAAGCATCTCTTGCAGCGTTAACAGTGGCAACTTCATAAGTTACTTGAATTGCAGAGGAACCTTAGGCTAGAAAATTGAGCAGGTCTATGCGGAACATGATGCGATCTTCAGGAATCAATATTGTCTTAAAAACAAGGACAAGAGACTAAGAACAGTGCAATCTTCAGGCATCAACCCTGTCTATGGCTGTTCGAAGGGGTCAGCCACTGACAAATCATGGATATGCTTTCGGAGATGATTCACAGTATTGCGATGTCTATTCATGAATTCAAATTGAGCATCTCGAGAAGCTCTGTCTTCTACTCGTAGCAGCCTGTGTTGATAAGCCAGCGATACACTGTTGTAGGCACCATAAAATCCTTCAAATTCAATTTTGTTTAGCACTTTTGCATTCAAAACAAAGAACTTGGCAAACTCAAGCTGTTTATCATGGCCTAGGAATGTTTCAAACACCACTGTTTTGAGATGGGTTTGAAGGCATTCAATTGGATGTAGTCGGTCATACTGAGGCTCAATTTTCTTATCCATCTCTTTGTGTTTGTGGAACTACAAAATGGATAATAAGAATTTGTCAAGCGTCTCTGTGTTAAAGCGGTTACAAACAATACGTCAATCAAATCAGAAGTTTTAAAGCAAGCAAAATGAGCACTCACAACGACATAGAGCTTCTCAAGACAGGGGAACCTCCTAAGGATATTAAGAACTCCGTCCAATTCATATCCAGAACACCTGAGAGACAAAATCTTCACGGTGTGCACCGAGTTTGCCAAGCCGGCTGAACTTATTCCCTGAAGAAAACAAACAATGAACATGAAAAAAATAATTACCTCCGTGTAGCAATGCCAAATGCAAGGTTTGAGGATGATGATGATACCTGTGAGACTAGGAGCTTCGAGACGACAGGTAACAAAGGGCCCAATACCTCCAGTTTAGGCGCACAAATTACCCGGATGGTACCACAATCATCTCGGCCACCAAAAGGCATTAGTAACCTCACAAGGTGAGGCGCATCCTCGATGACAAGCTCTACTTTACCAGTGGTGTCACGGAAGCAGATACTCCTAAGAGTCGGGGAGCGAACATGGAGGCAACGAGCACCACGAACTTCGGCCAAGTGTAAGCTCTTCAAGGCACGGCAAGCAGAGAGCAGTCCGCGGAAGACGTCCGCTGAGATGGAAACGGAGATCAAGGAGAGAAGCTCGAGGAGGTCGAAGCCCATGGACGGCACCATCTCTCGGGGCAAATCACAGTAGCCGATCTTGGCAACGAGGAGGGTAGGTGCAGAGTGGAAGGCGGATGGCGGCAGCGAAATTCTTGCCAGAATAAGTTCTTGTAAGTATTTTTCACCGTGGACCTTGTAGCCGACTTCGAGCACCTCAAGGTTGGCGAGGGCCCGGGAGCGGAACCAGCTCTCCGCCTGGTCGTGGAGGTCGCCGGGGCGGAGGCCGTGGAAGCAGAATCGGCGGGCGGGACCAGGATGCTGCGAGATTACCTTGGGGACGACATCGGGGGAGACGGAGGAGGTGCGGACGGGGACGCCGGGGCCGGGGTAAGGGGTGCGGACCTCGAGGTTGAGAGGCGCGGCGCTCCACAGGGGGCGCCATCGGCGGGAGAAGACCTGCGTCCGGCCGCCGTCCTTGGTGGGGAGGAGGGAGATGATGGTGCAGAGGACGGCGTCGGGGACCCTGCTGATGAAATCGGCGGCGCTCTCGTGGCAGTCGCCCCTCCGTGCCGTCTTCGCTGCGGGTGCCGCTGGCGCTACGGCGGCCTCCATGGCCGGCGGCTAGCGGGACAGCAGATTTGGCCGCAATGCTCCACTTGCACGGATGGGGAAATGGGGGACGGAATGGGGAGGTCGGGAGTGAATTGGGATGGACAGGGCAGCTAGGGTTCGCCAGATCTTGATGGTAATTCACGTAATTTATGAATTTCTAGGAGACGAGAAATGGTAATCTCGGTTAAAAAAATCAATCAACTTTGAAAAA